GGGGGGGGGGGGGGGGGGGGTCAGGATGTGAGATCGGGGGTTCGCCCTTGCTTGCCCCCTTCCCTCCCTAATGCGGGGCTCTGCCCTCCTTAAGAATTCCAGCACCTGAGAAGCGAGTTGCGCCGGTGTACTCTTATGAGAGCTCCCCAGGTTGATGCCGGCAGTATTTGTCGGGGCGTTCCTCCACCCGGGTTCTGAGACGAGTTCACCCTCGAGTTCCCGACAAGCTCCGTGAATAGCTTACCACAGCTTGTAGCTGCCCAGCCTGGGTTGCAGTATTAGAGGGGGGTCTCTAAGTTGGGGTTACCCCTGAACCAGCCGTAGCTGGCCAGCCGAAGCTGTGTACNNGGCCTCGGGTGCCGAGGTTACCAATGCACTATGGACCAATCCATGGAAGGAAAAAAATAGAGTGCACTTCATGAATGCATTTACATGTACATGTATATGTACACATAAAACAGAGAAAACGGCGCCTGCCTGTTTCGATTCCTCTAAGTGTATCAAATATTCCAACATATTCCAACCATCTGATGAAGCTATGGCCAGGTATACTCCACAGTTTATGCAAAAGTGTTCCAAACATTTGGCTATTTAATCACTCTTTTGCCATGCTATGGGCAAATCCAGTGGTGTAACGGCGTGATTGTTAAGTGGTTTACGAGATCTTTTCTCTCCCGCCAAAGCTCATCGGCTTACTTAATTGATTGGTTTGGAGGTTTAGCGGTGGCCTTTGTCCACTGAGTGGAAAAAGGCTAGCTTCATGGTGCAACCGCTTATTGGTAGGCGATCCCCAAACCAGCCCCTTTGATCCTTTACACCACAGTCCTGGTTTTTCAGCAAAGGTATTAGCTAAAACTTACTCGCAGCAAGCAGTCCAACTAAAAGTCCTAGCCGTTAAATGAGTACAATGTAAGGCTTCATCTACATGCATAACCATTGTGTATCACTTACCATACTTATCTCTGTGCGGCCTGTTGGTGTTGAAGCAAAAGAACAATAGTCTGTTCTTTATACTGGTGCCGTGTAGTGGTATATGTCATGTTATGCTATGCGAAACCTGGTGTGAAACGTCTGACTTGTTCATTGCTCTATGCTACCAGTATATTGCTGCGTTATATGAAAATTGGCTAGGTTGCTACAAGCTATGCACAGGTCTTTCCTTCGAAAGTACGTACCCTAAAACATACACCCCTGAACTGTGGGTGCTGATTCCCAGAGTATTTAAATCTAAACATGACATATGTACATAAATACCCAGATAGACCATGTAGTTTACCGTTACATATACGTACGCACCTGCAGTTCTATGTTAGTACCTACAGATTCGCATACAACCTTAACACATTGCATGTTGTTGTATGTCGAACTGCATAAGGCTCTGCCCCATGTTCTGATATGATCGTTGTGCTGTGGTGTCGCATGTTGTCATGAAGCCCACAGCCTGCAAGCAAGCATGTGTTGTGCTGTTACTCTATACCAAAGTTTACACTGGAAGTTGAAAACGACCATGTGACTTGTATGCACATAGAAGTATAGCATGCCGTCAGTAACTCAGTGCGTCGTTGAACTCGTTTTGTTTAGGGTAAATCAATGGATGTTGCCCTGTGGTATGGATTGCTGGGAGAAGAACCCAACTGGTTATAACCACCCTCTGTGGTTCTAACGTCGTTGATAGAAATGGGAGAAGAAAACCAATAAGCCAATCAATCAAGTAGTAAACCAATGATCTGCTCCATAGCGGGGAAGGGCTCGTCAAAAAAGGAAAGTCAGTTGCACCAATAAACCGTTGACCCATAAGCCAACTGACCCTGCCCATGCGCGAGAAAGGATGGGCTTAGTGGTAACTGTTTAACTGGTATGTTTTATTGTTTTAGTCGTCGTTGGTTGTAAATAATTAACCGCCCGAGTTAGTTACAACTGTTGTGATACCAATTGGAGAGGAATACCAATACACCAGGTTAAATCAACAGCCAACAGTTCAACAGACCAATGCGTTCTGCCCATAGTGAACAACGGTTGGCTTATACAGGAACCTATAGACCAATAAACCAACGACCAAAAGAAGCATAGTAGTTGACCCTGTCCATGCGGGGGAAGGGGCTTGGTGCATAAAGGAAATACAACAACCATACACCAATTGCTCGATCCCAGAGGGGGGATAGGGATTGGTGTATTGGTTTATTATTTGCTATGGTTATAACAGCCCTCCAGAGTTACATCTTTTGCACTGCTGATGGGAGCGGGAAACCAAGAAACCAAAAACCAATTGCTCCTGTCCATGGGAGAAGGGATTGGCTCAGTGGTTTGTTGGTTACTGGTTTCTTGGTTATTAGGTTTTCCACTCGCCAAAGCTTTAACTTTTGTAACATGAATGGAAGTGGTAAACAACCAAACCGGCGATGTAGGCGGTGACCCTGTCTGTGTGTGCGCGCTTGTTTGTTTGTGTCACACCGTCACACCTTGTGTTCCATAGCTTGTTTTTTTTCATGCTTTTCAGGTCGAGCCTGGTAAAGCTGCATGTACTTACATTGCGCACTGTAGATATTCTCTGAAACAATGGAGTGAACCAGTGCATCTATTTGTCGGCGGTGCTTGAGTGTTCGAGTGAATGCCATCCGAGATCTGCCAGCACGGGTCCAGACTACGCCAGGTTAGACGATGTTACACGCCACACCACAATTCTTACTGTCGACGATTGACGATAGGTCATCGTTGGAGGCCCTCTTCGACTGCCGGTCGCAGAAAATTATCGAGTCAGCCAGCGATGTTTCAAGGGTGCCTGGTGCCCCTGGATTGGCATGGGGTTCCGCGTGCGTCCCTAATATTGGAGATTGCTTCGAAGTGAGCTTCGTGGGTGTCGCGTCGTTGCCCTGGGCCGAAGATGTGTGAGTTTTGGGATTCGTGCTGGGACAATTCCTGCTCGCTGGCATTAATTCAACAGCTGATACACTGGAGGCGGCTCGGCGTTGCAGTTTGCAGCCCAATGTGGTCATGCTGTGCGCTGCCACGGCAGCCGGACAAATCGGCCGGGCACTCAGGGTCCCGAAAAGGCTACGCATTTGGGACACTACTTTCGAAGACCATTGAGCCACAGGCTGCTAAGTTGGCTGCTTCGTAGACGAGCTGATGTTTGGGTCTGAAAGTCTTTGTTCAGGTTTCATCCCAGCAGACAGCTGCTTAGGTCATCAGTGGCAGCAGACGCACACGTCTCTGGAGGCAGCCCGGGCGCAGGTGCCTTCAGCTCGCAGCTGTGAGCAGGGGAGTGTGGATTTATGTAGTAGTAGCAGTAGTAGCAGCAGTAGTACCAGTACCACTACCACTACCAGTACAAGTACCAGTGCCAGTACCAGTACCGGTTTCTAGCAGTAGGAGTAGTACCAGTACCAGTACCGGTACTAGTAGTAGTAGTAGTAGTAGTAGTAGTAGTGGTAGTAGTAGTCGTAGTGGTAGTGGTAGTGGTAGTGGTAGTGGTAGTGGTAGTGGCAGTGGCAGTGGTTGTGGTAGTGGTAGTGGTAGTGGTAGTGGCAGTGGCAGTGGCAGTGGTAGTGGTAGTGGTAGTGGTAGTGGTAGTGGTGGTGGTAGTAGTTTCTAGCAGTAGTAGCAGTAGTAGCAGTAGTAGTAGTAGTAGTAGTAGCAGTAGCAGTAGCAGCAGTAGCAGTAGTAGCAGTAGTAGCAGTAGCAGTAGTACTACTACTAGTAGTGGCAGCAATAGCACCAGCAGCAGTAATTTAATTTGGCAGTAGTAGTCGTCGTCGTCTTCATTGTAGTGGTGGTGACAGTGGTAGTCGTTTTCGTAGTAGTAGTAGTAGTAGTAGTAGTAGTCGTAGTAGTAGTAGTAGTAGTAGTAGTAGTAGTATGTGACTCAAGACATGCTTATCTTCAGTTGTATTCCAAGAATCTCATATTGTGATATAAGTTATTCTGTTTCGTTCAGACCTGGGTGTCATCCGCTAGCTATTTGTTTGTCGAGGCTCCGAGCTTTTTTCACGATTGACAGAACGTAGTCGCAAATGTGTGACTGATGGGTGTCGATGGTGACACTTCCCCCCTTGGCAGCATGAACCGTGCCGCAAGTCATCTTCAACGAAATGTTGGCGCTGCAATGGTCGTGTTGTCGGCAGGAGCTTGCTGTCAACGATGTCTTCTTTGGTACAATACTGACGGACACAAGTTGGTCGCGAGCTGCGCAGTGGTTAGAGGACTGCTCGAACTGTCGAATACAGCCGGTTTGTGTAGCCGGAAGCGCAGCGATTCAGAGGCATCGTGTGGTCCATACTGCGGCAGCACGGCCGCCATTGGACCATACTTGTAGCAAAGCGGTCAACACACCACTTTGACCCAAGCCGCCAGATTGAACAAGTGCCGGGCCGATACCGTGCCTGCCAGGACATGCACATGTCGACAGTGCGAGCGAGCAGCACGCATCTCAAAGAAGCAGGGCTGCTCTTTGTCCCGGGTGTCGCAGGGCATTTGGAGCTAGCTGCAAGACACGCAAATGACCTGCGAAGACAAGGCGTGGTTTTGGCGATTGCTTCCAACACGGTTCCCTGGGAGCAGGCAGTATTGAAGCCGTTTCAGCTTCATGAGTAACCAGCATGGGAAGAAGTTCAACTGCTGGGCCTCAGCCAGTGGCTGACACTGGGCTGACAGGCGCTGGAAGCCGGAAGCTTGGTGACGATTCCGCGGCCGCCGCTTGAAAACCAGCGGCTTTGTTGTTTCACTGTAGGCTTTGCTTCCCGCATCAGCTGACGCACAGCTTGCCGTGAACAATATCATCGGTGCCGGCCGCAGCAAGTTTGTGTGATCCGGAACGGGTTCCGTGATCCTGCTCAGCTGACTGAATAAGTCAGGTGGCTGTGGGAAGGCTGCGTGTTGGCAGGCGCCACAGTATAAACATTCACGGCGCAAGGAAACTTAGAGCCACTGATTTCTTTGGAACGGCCAGGCTGCCATGGCACTCATCCATCGGTTCACGACAGAGGAGCACAGTTCTGCAGCTCGGACTTAGGTTGGGCAAAGTCTGATTGGATCGCCAATTGTTCGTGAGAGAAACACCTCATTTTGGATGTTCTTTTGAGTTAATCATGTTCGTCGGCCACCTATCTTATTTCTACGAAACCTTCAAATCTCTCCGCAACGCAACGCCGATGTTGGACACATGTCGGACCAACTTCGAGTCTGTCTCGTAGGCGATGAGGCATTTTGTCCAAATTGGCTGGAGATGGCTGGAGGCTTCGCTTGTTGGCATTTCTGCCAGGTCGAGTTTGTGTCTCTCCCTTAGATAGTTTGCACTTGCTGCTGCTGTGCGGAGTGCCGCTCTTTGTGCTTTCGGCCTGTCGAGTTGTTTTTTTTTCAACTTTGGTTGACTGCCAGGCTTCATTGCTATCTGGGCACAGGTGCTCAACCTCGTGTCCCTACCCTACTGTTCCACATCACGAAGCACTATGTGAATCACTGTCTGTTTCTCTGTGCTTTGAAGCCTTGGTCTTGAACATGCCTTGTACATTCTGCTGCCGTTTAGGTCCCTTGAACTATACCGGTAGTTACGCAGTGCTTGGGAAACAATTGGTAGCGGAGCTGGTACCCCTCGGTGGGACCAGCCGAGCGGGTCTTGGTACCATAGGATTGTACGGCCTGGGCGAGCCCGATATCGACCCATTGCATCCCCCCTGTGTTCTTGCATTTAATTGATCAGCCTTGACAACGAGCGTAGCTGGCCTACGGTACTCCCGTGGTATTACCTTGGAGACCCGTACCCTCGATATCCCTGGATGAGGCTGAAGCTCTATGAGGATGCGATCATCGCCATGACGCGATCGACATCGGCAAAGAAGGGTGACAAGGCTGGCAGCCCGACCCGAACTGGAGCCACCGCGCCCGTAGCCGGGGAGGATGGGCCTGCTACTGAGGCACACGCAGAAGGCCGGATCTCCCACGAGACCGCAGCCTGCGACCCCGAAGTCTAAGAGCGTCTCCTCGACATGCTGTGAAGCTGAGGACCGAGATGGCACACCGAATCCTAGAATGACTTCGGGAGGAAGCCTTCGAGCTTGCACAGGATATCGGCATCGAATCCTTTAACTATATACTGCACCTGGGGGGCTCCCTGCCTTCATAGATAAAATGCGTAGCATTGTTTTTCCCCGCGCCGCGGAAAAAGCTCGTGAGCTCTTTCGTGTGGGCCAAAGGGAAGGCGCGCTCGCACGCCAAGGCGGCGAAAGCATGTTATCATACACCAGCAAGCTAGTTCGTTGCCTGGACAGCAGCATCGAGCTCTCTGAGCCGATGCGTGTGGAGCTTCTTCACGAGTTGTCAGGGCTATCCAGACAGGAAGCCCTGGTCATCAAGGCGTGCACCAGTGGCAGCCGCAACTTTGAATCCGTGCGTGCTACCCTTGTGGAGCACTACAGTGGTGCGCACCTGCGCAAGGGACGCACACTGGGTGGATCTTACCAAGACCACCGTCGCGGCGGAAAGGGGTTGAGGCAGAGCGGTTACCCCGAGGCGAGGGTGCTGCCCTGCGCTCTCTGCATAGTAGCGATCCCAGGTGGATGCATAGTCCATCTTCTGGTGCTTGGACTTGGGCTGTGAAACAGTGAAGTCTTGCCAGGACTCCCCCTTGTCCCTCGTTCAAAGAGCGCCACTCGCCATGGTCACTCTCCCAGGAAGATGATGCAGCATCCTGGCTCCGCATCTGTTGCGAAGATTCCTCGACTTGGATCTCTGTCCCAGGCGGCAGCTTGATCCAGCCGTTGAGTTTAACACACACTTTGAATATGGGCGAGAGCAGGAGCTTCAACAAGAAACTGGGGCAATGAATCATTCAGGCAATTGACGTGAGATACTCTGACAGGACATCAGTTTCACATTTGAGGGTACAACTCAAAATTGCAGAGAGAGAACATGAATTTGAGTGCACAACTGACATGAATTGCAGAAAGCCTCTACCAGAAATCTTCACAGGCATTTGAGTCAAGCAAAGTAGCCGCACCCGCAGCAGGTGCAGTGCCCCCACCCCGGCCAGCAGTCCCTGCTGCCCAGACAGCAAATGCAAAGCCGTGCCTTCCGCACCACCTCCCGGAAAAGCCCCGGCCGCGGTTCCTAAGACACGCCGGTGTAAGCAAAGCAGTGGCAGGCAACATGCGTGCCTCTGCTGCACATGTGCGAGCACAGCCTCCAGCACCCCCGACTCCGGCAATTGGTGCTGATCCGCAAGGTGGTCGCCTGGTCTCGATCGAGGTTCTCCTCTCCTTAAAGATGCAGAAAGAGCAAGGCACCTTCAGTCTTTGCTAGCATTGCAGTGGGGTGCATGGAATGGGAACCGGTGTCCTGCTACCATTCAGGTATACATCGCACATCAATCTGCAAGAAGCACAAGCCCTGAAGCGCGAGCCGGTGAAGTTTGCTTCAGATCCTGCAAATAGTGGGTTAATCTGCATCTGTTTAAACGACCCCAGGGTCCTCGAAGGCGCCCTGCCAAGCAGCCTTTTTACGAGCGCTCTGTTTGCAAATGCGGGGGGGCTGCGCCCCCCAACCCTCCCCGCTCCTTTTTCATTTTAAGCCATGCGAATTTGCAAGGGCAGCGTGCCGTCAACGGACATTTCTTTCCTTCATGAAGTCTTTCCAAGAGCCAATCATCCGCCCCGCTCCTGTAAGCCACGCGAACCTGCCATCAATGGACCTTCCGTCAATCAGCCTTTCTATGAGCATTCTGTTTGCAAATTGGCGGCTGCCCCCCGCCAAACCCCCTTTCTTTTCTGTTTGAAGCCATACAAAGCTGCCTCAAAGAATGGCGCGCCTTGAATGGACATTCCTTCAAGCAGCCTGTCTGGGAGGAATGTGTTGGCAACTGCGGTGGGCACCCACCCTTTGCTTTTTTTGCCACGCAGGCCTGCTTTCCAGAGCGACGTGCTATAACCTCCCGTCTTTTGCTATCCGAAACAGAGAGTAGGACCAGCACCGCCAGCCGTGATGAGAGCGCACTAACCATGTATTCCAACTATTCGTCGTTTCTTGATTCGTGTGTGGCCTTCATTGGTAGGTGGGTTTGGGGGGAGTAAGCAACAGTAGCTTGACACAAAATAGCACGGCCAGAAGGATTTTCCCCCGATGTTGGATTGACAAAATTGCACTGACGTGATTTCGGGAGCATGTCAAGAATATAATGACGAGGCATGTTTCAGATTCATTTAAGATATATGAGAGAGCGTGTTTATATATATATATATATATGATGATGATAATGATGATGATGATGATGAACTGGGCTCGCCAGATCAGGGGGCGTGTTTAAGATATACGATGAACCGGAATCGCCAAATGAGGGGCTGGGGTTAAGATAAAGGATGAGTCGGAATCGCCAAGTGATGCGGCATGTTTCGGATATATGACGACCCGGAACCGCCAGCGTGGTTAAGATATATGATGAACCGGAATCGCCGCATGAGGGGGCGTGTTTAAGAAATTTTTGCCAGCAAAAAGGAAAACACACACACACACACACCCGGGCGCGGCCGGAATGCTTTCCGGAGCAGAGCCAAGAGGCTCCCCCCAAGTATTGGCGCTTTGCAGGCACGGAGCGAAGATTCTCACGCACGGCCAGAAGGATTCGTTCCCCGACTTCTTGCTTCCCTCTGCACTAACGGGATTCCGGAAGCAAACGGAAGGCAAGCCCTCCACCTAACGCGCGTGATCCTGACTCCTTTGTATTTTGCTTCAAAATGGGAATAGTTTTTCTTGATAGCTAGAATCGTCTTTTTGATCTTGCAATTAGCCTGTCTCCTCTCAATTTTGCTTATAAGTTGAGGAATAGTTTTCTGATGCCTTAAATAGTTTCCCTTTTTTTGATACTTTAAAATCGTTTTTTGATGCCTCACCCCCTCCTGTCGTCTTGCAACTCCCTCGAAGTTTCGCTCGGAAATTTGCAAGAAACACTTGATTTCAAAACGAACACCCAAGCAGAATACATTCATTACACATTGAAACATCCGGCTTGGACAGAAATTTGGGACCATCGCTGCCATGTAAGGTCATATTCCTCATGTGTTTTATTTAATACTGCGTGTGTTTGCAAATCTCCACTTACATGCCTGCTACACATTTATCAACACGGCAACCATTCTCCGACACACATTTATTAACCCTGATTTCGGATTTTGAAGCGTTTTGAGAAAAGCAGCCCCCAGGATCCAGACCTTCAGGATCCAACCTTCAAACCGAGCACCGTGAGATGTATAGCTTGTACAGCATTTCCTATGTTCAAGACAAGAGAACAGGTTGAGTGTGAATCACTGTCTGTTTCTCTGAGCTTTGAAGACTTGGTCTTGAACATGCCTTGTACAGCCTGCTGCCGTTTAGGCCATTGAGCGATACCGGCAGTTATGCGGTGCTTGGGAAAACACCGCCAATTTCAAGCATCTTTTTTGATTTACACAATGTCATGTCTGCCTACACCTTTCGTGAATCCACCACAAAGACAAAAGGGGCAGGCGAACACCGTTTTGCCGACGTGTGGCAGCATGCCGCGTTTATCCCGACTGCCGTATGCGGTATGGTGCCAGGATGAAATGCTGTTCAATTCTTGCCAGTTAACTGAAACAAACTACCCTATACCCTCAGTATCCCTCATTCGTCTTCGACCTCCTATGTTTGCAAAGCACGGCACGCTAGGATGCCAGAAAAGAACAATTGTCAACACTTTGCAGAAGACGCGCCCCACACATCCAAGCAGAAACCCCGCGCATCCCACTGCAAAGGCGAAACCTCATGTGTTGGTCTGCGCAGGATGCAACTGCGCGAGTGACTGCCGTCGGATTCACTGCAGCTGCCGGAGCTTGCGAGCGAGGGCGGCAAAGAAGGCAAGCCGTCATGCTCCTGAAAGAGTTGCTTGGCGAAGTCTGCACACGCTCCGTCGCCGATAAAGGCTAGGCATACCATGGCATACTGAGTGCGTCTGCACACTCTTCGACCCAGGCTGCGCAGAAGACGGCTTCAAGGCGACAGAACTTCACAAGGTTCGAGAAGCATGTTTGTTGAAAGACCGAGAGAAGCGGGGAGAGCGTGATGCGTCAGGGGCTGCTATCGCTGTTGCCTCACAGTCCTGGAGAACAGCACTTTGGCAGCTGGCCGTCGCCAGCACAGAGGATGCTTCTGCGCGGGGTGATTGGGTCATGCAAGGATCGGCGATGGCAGCATGCGGGGAGCGTGGAAAATGGATTCTGGTAATGGGCTTGCTCGACGCGCACATGCCTATCGAACCTCTCAATGTGGCACTCGAAGCTTGCAAGACCAAGTCGCTATGGACGGTGGCACTCAGACTGCTGGGGGTGGCGCTCGAAAGAGAGCTGAAATTGGACGTGCTGACAGCGTCAAGCACACTGTCTGCTTGTGCGCAGTGTTGGCAAGAGAATCGATTGTGGCGCGTGACGCTCCAGCTGCTAGATAGGATGGTCTTGCGGCAAGTACGACCCAACTTGCTGTGTTGGTTGGAAGCATTGCCAAAAGAGCAAGCGTGTCCCATGTCGCCAAATCTGCTGCACAAGCTGCAAGCTGTAGCTAGCGCGTCGTTAGGAAGGTTTGCTGTGAGGTAGGCAGCATGAGTCATTGTGTATCAGCACGCAGTAGGGCTTCCAGGGGAGTTCTCTGTGCCTCCCCTGCCTTGGACTCAAAGTACAGGGCGCGGCATCAGACATCCTTTCGGCATCGTGCAGCTTGGCATACTGGTTTCAAAAAGCCTGCGTTACCCACTGTCTGCTGCACGCTATGAAACTTTCGGGTCAGCGAGTGCCGGTCCTCACTGCTTTTTATGCCCAAACATGTTGCAGGATCTGCACTAGCCATGTCAAGAGCTCCAAGTGCAGATGGACGCCAAGACCGCCGACGCAGCTCCTCTTGCGCCAGAAGCGCTCTGCCAAGCAGGCGATCAAGTTCTGCGCTGGAGGAGTATCCCCAACAGGCTGTAACACGTGCCATTTATCACCATGCAAGGGCTTACCTTGCCATTGCTTCGATCACAGCAGGGTCCGCTAAGCCGACACCCCGAGAGAAATGCCGTCGTGCAGCCTGTGCCATTCGTCAAGCTGCACGCGCAGTGATACTGGAAAGCACAGTCGTCCAGATCGTTTTGCGCTGCGTCGAGCAGACGAAGCAGCGACAAGCTCGAGAAGCCGATGAAATGTGGCGCAAGCTTGCAGGTGATGTGCGGTTCTTGTTTGGTGGACAGAAGGATATCGACTCTGTGACAAAGATTGCTGGAACCCTGGCTGAAATGCTGTCAGGCTTCGATGGAGGCGATGATGTTCGGAATAGGTTCTTGAACGTCGCGAAAAGCTTCGACAACTCCGAAGTAGCTTTGAAACAGCTGCACGCATCCTTCGGCAATAACTTAGAAGGGCTTCATGCCATGCGGAACGACTTCGATCGCTTCACAGCGGAGATCATTCGGCTTGTAAGTCTCCTTGAAGGAGACTGCAACAGCATGCGTGTTCAGTTGCAGAAAACCTTGAAAAGCCCTCGCCAGCGGGTAAACAGAAATTTGTTGGGAGGTCTTGAGAATCTAGGGAAGGGACGAATGATGCCTGACGGCGCCAACATTGGTGATGCATCGCAAGATCACATTACCACATTATTATCTACCTTGGAGCATGATTTGTGCGATACCCCGCTGGCAGCAATGGTACAGGTTGCCCAGGATGTCAATGATCAAATCGTGAAGCAGTTGAGCGACAGCGGTAAACTGCAAGGCCAGGATTACGCATTGAACGAGGTGAGCTTGGTTCCTGTGGACGAGCCCACCTCTCCCACCAAGGTTGTGACCGACTTGTTGCAAGCGTTGCGACCGTGCATTTTTGACGCAGTGGATGGAGTGGGCGCCGAGGCGGTGGCTGCCGACGCAACGGGTTGCAGAAGCAAGATTATCCGACCACGCAAAGCTTCAAAAGGCGTGGAGCAGCAACCCGTCAGACCTGAACGGGTCGTGGTCTCTCCGTCCAGCCCTGTGCGCCCTCCGGTGGATGTCCTGTATGCTCGAGCCCAACTCGCTCGAGATTCCGCCGGCCTGCATGCGACGGCGGCGCCGACGGCACAGGGCGGCTCTGGAGTTCCAGAGAAGTCCCTTGGGCCCCTCGGCTTGCTCCCGTCTGAGGCCGCTCTTGTGCCAGAACAGCGGGGACAGCGCTTGCCGAAGCTGAAGCCATTGCCTCACACAGCCGATTTCGAGCAGGGTCCAACAAAGCCGATGTCCAATCGGTCGGTCAAGTCTTCGAAAGAAAGCTTGCAGGAGCACACGGCAACAAGCATGGTGCTCCCGGTACCTGGCTTCGTGGAACATTCAGAACACACCGACTACGCTTTGCCTTCCGCTGGAACAACTGCGGTGGCAAACAATGGTGATGGAGGTTCCCAGCAGAGCACTGGTCAAACAGCTGATCCTAGAAAACACGGTGTGTCAGGCCCAGGTGGTGTCCAGAGCTCTGACCCACAGAATGCACACATTGAACTCGAGACTCGTGAGAGTCACAAGGACACGGCCGGAGCCCCGGCGAGTGGATCTCGGTGGCCATCCGGGCAAAACTGTCGACCTCCGTCTGAGGGTGACATCACGGCTGGACCCCGAGCACCACGATGCAGAACTCCAGACGACCTGTCCTGCGAGTATTTACGTGCAAGCACAAGCCACGAAAATCAGAAGCTGTCACCCACGAGCCGCAGCCAGTCACAGCCAAATCTACAAGCCACATCCCGCTCCTCGGAGGACGGAGACCGAAATCCAGAGCCAACAAGGCTGCCTGGTCTTCCTGATCTGAGGCGTGACCATCCTCGTGCACAGGCTGCTGCGGTTGCATCCTCGGACGAAGCCGGTGAAGCCACCGAGACCTACGCAGCAAACAGGGAAGCAGTGACGAGCAAAGAAAGAGCAAGTGCGGGCATGGACAGCAAGTGCAGAGATGGCCAGGATGGTCGCAGATCTGCATCGCTGCCTCTCGACTCCGGACCTCGCAGGTTTCGCCACTCCGGGCACTCTGGGTTTCCTGGAAGGACGCAAGAACCGGCTGAGTTCTCGCGCTTCATGGCTTCCGAGCAGACAGGCCCGGCATGAGACATCAGGGCCTGAGTCGGCCTGAGGGCTCGTGTGCTTAGGGATCAGACTTTCGGACATGAGTTTGGGTTTATCATGCTGTTCCCGTGGTTCCATGGGGTTAGCAGAAGGACCGTACAGATTGATTGTGAGGCCTGGTGTTGTAAAGTGGTGGGGCTGCAGCTTTAAATGCTTGAGATGTGCGGGGGCCTGTATTTAAATACAAGAAGCAAAACAGGCTTCACGGTGAGGTTCTGGCAGGAATTGCTGGAGCGCAGGGGTGCCTTCGACATTTAAGATTCCAGGATGCTGTCGGGATGGAATCTAACTTTCGGGAGAGATGTATCTTTGGGGATCTTTGGGGGGAAAAACGTTTGCAATGCCACTCTGTGTGAGGTTTGGAGTATGTAGCAGCCGAGATAGTAGTGGTTAGCAGCCAATTTTGAAGATCAATGTTGGTGTACGTAATGAGCACTTGAGAAGTTCTGTAACTGGCATCTATTGGAGAAAAAGATTGTACGGCTGTCATTAGCTTGTTTCCTTGTTTTTGCTTTTATTAGCACGACTGCGACAACTTGATTACGACGATGACTCCTACTGCTACTCCCACTGCTGCTGCTGCTGCTGCCTGGCTGCTGCTGTCGCTTGAGCGTTCTACAAGGTTTCCGTGGCGTGGTACAGATGTTCAACACTTCTGCAGAGCGCAGGCTATGCCAGCTCACAGATGGCAACAACCTCCTTCATGGGGAGCCCCCTGCTTGTGAAGAAGTCCAAACTGGAAGAAAGGCCTCGCAGACCTTCGCTGGCTGGGCCGCTTGTCCGCGACTCTAATCATCTCTGCCCTAGATCCGCGAGAGTATGATTGCATTGTCAACAGAGTCAACAGACCCTAGGCGCACACGGGGCATTCCGATCTAAATGACATGTCACTGGCAAGCTTAGTTCCATCTCGCAGGCGCCAAACTCCTATGTTGAACTGCATCTTGACATAATAGCCATGCGCACGGCCTGCTGCAACCGTTAGTTATTTAGCGCAGCAGCTGGGTGACGGTGGTGGGTTCGGCAGAACCGTGTGTGCATGAGCCTCGTTAGGGACGCGACGAGTTGATTGAGCACAGGCCGCACGCAAAGTCAGCAAGTGATGTCTCCTGTTGTGGGGTAGACATGACAGTAGGAAGCCGCTGCCTGCATGCCGACTAGGATGGGCTACAAATTGTACGTCACTACCACATAACTCCCAGCAATCTGCGCATGTTGTCCATGTTGGTTGCTATTGGTGAATCTGGAACGAGGCTAGCGGCTAGCAGGTTCCCTTCTAGTATCTTCTAGTTGCAGGGGGCACCAGCCGGCTGACGTTGGCTGAAACACAACGAGACCGTGCGGGAACATTTGCGCGTGACGGAGGCGTTGATTGTCTTGTGCCAATGAGACCCCTCGTCTCGCATGACACATGCCCCGCCACATCCTGCCAGCGGGAAATAGAGAAACGGGTAGAGAAAAATCCTCGTGGTTCAATTCATCCGCCCAGTAGCGTTCGCCCAGCATCTTAAATTTGCAACCAACCGAAACATGAAAGCATGTTCGAGCACACACTTTGTTTTTCGTCCTGTTGATCTGCGAGCATGCTGTCCCCATTCGCATGAACTCTGTACTGGAAGGCTGCACTGCTTTGTGACATCCTGGAATTCTTCCGATTTCAGAGCCCTGTGTTGAGTGTTCCTCAATGGAAAGCACCGAGTTTGCGAATGAATGTGAAGCCAGGAATGCGTCCGAACCTTTTCTTCCCAAGTCGATGGAAGCGGGTCGCCGCCCGCGTGGGTTGCCAGCACCAGGTGCACTGCAACCTGCAACTTGGCACTGATTCGCCACCGTTCTAAGTTGCTTTTCTTTAGTGGGTTCTATTGGTACGGAGCCACGGAGCCGTCGCTGCTGTCGCATGGCCTAGCCGTCAAGGCATTGGCCACGTCCACGAGGCATGCACATGCGACAAGCGCCCCCATGCTGGGTCCTTTACGACACCCTGCAGGAAAGATCAGCAAAGTGTGTTGGCTGTTCATTTTGGTCCGCTTCAGCAGCTTGTCGCTGTGCTGCGAGCAGATGCTCAGGTACGAGACCCAGGTCACTAGACACGGCCAGATACGATTACAAGGCTCCCCATGGGCCGCTGCCGACTTTACACGCTGAAATGCAGGCAGGGATGGATTGAGCAATGGCTGCCGGAATGCCACTGACAAATGCATTCAACTTGCTTCAGATGTTCGTGACTTGTGAAGCATCCGCGCATCGATGGACAGCTCAAGATCACTTCCCCTGCGCCAGGCTTCTGGCAGCCACGTACATGTTCACCAGCGGAAGGCCATGAGACCAAAGTGAGCATTGTTGAGACCCTGAGCATGGTTTTTGGTGTGTGAAGGTGTCTCCGGCACCGACCGTGTCAGAGGAGGAGAATGAGCTATTGAGGTAGTTGAGCGCAGAGTGAGCATGGACGGTAGCACCTGGCTTCAACAAGCATGTCAGCTGCTCACCATGGCGCAAATTAACCTACTCTGCGTTCCTCGCAAAGAATTCAGTGATCAAGCTCTAACGAGCATTTTTGCAACAACAGCAACTTCGTGATTCAAGCTTGTCGGGGTCAGACCAGACCAGCCGGCTCTTGCCCGCTTGCTCACAAGCGGCCGAAACATAAAGCTGGTTGGCGATGCGCCTTGCAATGGCTGAGCCATTGGCATGATGCATCCGGACCCCTTTTTTGCTGAGAACAGCCCTTGGGCACTCGACAAAAGTATCTGCTCTGCTCACTGCTCCATGCCGATCGTTACTCTCACGGGTCATGGGGTGGAACGGAAGGCGAGAGCATGTGAGAGGGTCTTGGCAGCAGATGTAAGCCGATGTATCGAGCGTTGGGTGCAGAGAGTTCCGGATTCGCACATCTAGATTGGGACGTGAATTGAATGGGCTTGCTGGAGCATGTGTCAGTTTCACCTGCGCACCTGATATCCGATGTATACCAAGAACTTACTATGGTGCACTATGGCTGGTTAGGTTAGTCATAGTTGAGATGGTGTCTAAACGATTTACATGGCTTGTAACCTCTGATGCAATGTCATGGCGTTACAGCAATGTTCGCAGTCCTTTTCCAAAAGCGCCGGCACGACTTTCCGCTACCTTGGTGGTTCTGCGACTTTGCAGGGCCCAGCTGGCCGAGCACATAACGCCGAACAGGATTTGGCCGGAGGATGCGCCTATAGACAGCGACTCGCTTGCTGCGAGCACAGAGTTTGTCTGTGACAGGGTTCCTTCTCGCCAACCCTCCATCATTCAGCGAGGCCTTGAGTACCCTGTACCCGATTTGGCTGGCGCTCCTCCAGGCGGAAGTGGTTCTTTGGCGGATATCTTGCACGGTCTTCGTCAAGAACAGGTTGGAAATGCGTTCTCGCAGACCCAGCTGCGCTGTGGCATGTCGCCATTCGAGTCCGCGGAGTTGTCGGAATGCGAACAAGCCTGGGTGGATTATATTATGTCATTGATAGTACCCTACGGAATTCCATTGTTTTTATCAGCACTGCTGTTCCTCCTATGGTTCCCCTGCTGTTTCGTGGCCTGCTGCAGGTGTTGTAGACAAATGGTGTGTTGCAAAGAAGGGAAGGAACCTAAGAAGACGTCGCGATTGTGTATCATCATCGGTGTCGTCTTGTGGAGTGGTGCAAGCGCGTTCCAGGTAGCACTTTGTTCTTCCATGGTGGAAGCAAGCCAAACCTTACATGACTCCGTGAACTGGAGCCTTTGCATTGCACATCACTTCGCGGCTGAAGTACTTCACGGTTCAACCTGGTTCCTGGGTACAGAGCCTGCCCTCCGTCGATTTAACAGTGTTGGGGTCGCCCTTGATGCAGACAGTGTTGCCAGCAAGACACTTGGAAGCGTCATGGCAAATTCGGAGGATTTTTCACGCAAGCATGACTTGCTTTTGCGCCGGCTGCAGCACATCTCCAGTAATTTGGAAGCAGTCGGCTTGGGCCGACGACTCTTTGACCACCGATGTGTTTTTTGCAACTTGGCCCTTGGAGTCGGCGAGGGACAAGGAGCTTCCTCGCTTCCTCTAACATACCCTTCAGTGGGACTTTTACGTGCCTTGGAGCAGCAAATTTCGGCCTCATCTTCGCAGGCTACTGCAACAATTCGACGGATCGCTGCAATGCATTTGACGAAGCAGAACCTCACGGACTTGGCTCAATCCATGAAGTATGCCAACATCTCGTTCAGCTTGTTCAATGAGGCCGTGGTGAAAGAGGCGGTTGCAAAGCTTTGGGTGAAGAACCGGCCCCATATTGACACAGTTGAGTCGATTCGGCACTTGCTGTTCGTGTCCGTGTCGGTTCTAGCTGGCCTAGGCGCCATCATTGGCTGGGCAGCCTTTCTCCGTACAAGGTATAAGTATGCCAAGATGGGCGAGGATCCACACGCGCGCCCGCCAAGTGGGAGACTGCATTTAGTCTCATGGTGCTGTGCTTTCTTGCACACATTCCTGGCCCTTACACTCGGCTCCAGCCTTTTCATTCTCACGGTTCCGGTAGCGGAAACCTGCGTCTTCGTCCGAAGCGAGCTGCTTACTTTCGAAGGTTTGGAAAGGTATGCTTCTGTCTTCGGCGTCTTCCTGACCGATGAAGACACGAATGAAGCTAGGGCAGCTAGAGAAGCAGTAAGGCTCGCGCAGACCTGCCTTTCCCGAAACCGGACTGGGGACATGCTGACGGCTATTGGCCTGGGTGGATCTAAGTTGGATTTTCAGAACGAGCTGGCCGAGAGCTTCTACCAGCTCGATGACAAGCTGGCTGAGCCACCTCTAGGCGTGCAATCTGCAGATCTGGTTCAGAGGTTAATCGATGCAGCAGAAGACTTTGGTGGGACCTTTCTGCTCGACCCTGTGAGGCCGGACAACGAGACTGAGTCTTATGGCAGGCTGGAGCTAGGATCCAACGTGGAGGGTCTTCTTCTGAATTCTGGATTGGCTGCCGATGATCAGATCGCCCCTGACAGCGTCACAACCATACGTGGCCTCAACACCTATGCGGAGCTGATTGCTGGGCCTGGTCAATATACATTTCTCTCCGGCACTTCTGGTGGCGGCTTTGTGATATCTCCGACTCGGCCGTCAGAATCAGAGTTTGAGTCGCTGCCTCCAGATGTTCGGAACGCCCTGCGCTATGCGCAGAACAAGGAGAAACTCTTAGCCGCAGATGCTTTGCAATGCAATCTGATGTCTGACGACGGCTCCATTCACTTCCGAGCTTGTGGTGTTCACGAGTTTCATGATCATGTCATTGCAGAGGCGGGCTTGCTGAAGGCAGCACTGGCAGAAGCGACGGAGATGGCAGACGCAGTCCAGATCTTGCAGCTTGTCTTCCCGGCTTGGTGTCGCGTAACGTAGTTTCTTTGATTTCTAAGCTAGCCGGGCTTTCTGCTTTTGCAAGATCACAGCTGCAACACACGGCGCGACCTGGCCTAGCCTGCCGCATAACAACACGCACACGCACAACGATACAATGTGGTTTTGCGGTACACAGCAGCCCTTCTGAAGTACGTTCACCACACATCCGGGGAGCGCTGTCCCTCAAACGGCGCGCCTGTTTGATTTCTGCAAGCTGGAGAGTTGGACACCGTGGATTTTTCGGGGCTGTTCTAAGGATTGCAAGCTCCACCAGAGGTGCGCTCAGTCACAAAAATGCCATGCATTTCTCTTCTTTGCTCACCCATCGAAGCATGTTAGGAAGACTATTAATCACCACGGAGTTCCAATAGTTTATGCTAAGTGGAATAAACGTGTCCGTTGTTTAGGAGGGTTTGGCTACGCCGCGGCTACGCCTTGGTTTGTGAGACGGTCCCCTTCCTTGGGTCCCTGGTATTATGGTCCCTGGTCCTCGCCTCTATTCCCCAGATCTTGGTCCTGCTGGCTAGTTCCCTCGTTCGGCTCTGCACTAGTAGTGGTAGTTGTAGAAGTGGCAGTACAAGTACCCAGGTAGTTGTACAGGTGGTAGTAGCAGTTTTAGCGGTATGTACTACCAGTGGCAGGAGCAAACACGAGCAGGAGCAGTAGTTTACTGAGCCTGCGTCTGGTCCTGCTGCTTGATTTCTAGGTCTTTGGTTTCCTCCATGGTCCGGTCGGATGGTCCGCGTTCCTGAGATATGGTGCAGCGCTGCAAGGGCCCCCTGTGCGGTGTAAACCGGGTTTATTTGCCGTGTGTGGCTCAAACCGGGTCTACTTGGCAGCTGGAACTGTGTGTGAGGAGAGAAACACGAAAACCAGCTGTCAAATAAACCCTATATGGTGTCTGCGGGTTCCTCGGAATCAAATAATTTAAACCTGGGGACCGCTCCCATATCTAAATTATTTAAACTGTTAATTCCCGGCCCCAATTAAGACGCCCTCTGCAGGATTTACTGTATTGAAACTATTTAAATCTATTAAATTCCGCGCCCACAATAAAATAGTTTAAATCCGGTGGAGGGGGTCCGGGGGCCTGTGGGCGCAGAAAATCATGTAATTTAAATCCGGGGGGAGCCATCCTCCCTTGCTCGACTCCACTTCACTCCACCCACGCATCACCCTAGACCCTTACCGCTCCATACCATTCAGCTTCGGCCCTAGCAACTTTTTCATCACCACCCCGTGCTCGCGCGCTCCATTGCTTTTATCATCGCCTCATCACTTTAGCACATTTGATCACCCTTGCATCACCTTTCATCACCCTTTATCACCATTTACCAGTTCTGACCACAGTCTTATCGCTGTGTTTTTTATCACTTTTTTGTTGCCTTGTTATCATCTTTTTATAGGCACCAATCCCACCCCTCTCGCAACCCCACCACACCTACCCCACCACCCCATGTTACTCCATCCCCACCCCACACCTCTCTACACTGTCACCCCACAACCGACCTCCCACCCTCATCTCCACTCCGCTCCACCTCTCACACCCTCCCACCCTTTCCACCCTCACCCAAAGAAACAAAGCACAAACCTAAGTTTCCAAGATGCTTTTTGTTTAAGTTCTGCTCCTCCAAAAAGGACACGCTACTTTGTTAATAGACTCGGTGGCCGCTTTACCGAAAAACAAGCTCCGTTTTGTTAGTGAATGCTGCGGCCCCTTTCGCTTTCCTTTTTTCACCCACAAGAAAAGCCTCATTTTGTCAGTCCATGCTGGGGGCCGGCCTCTTCTTGTTTCACCAGAAGAGACAGCCACTTTGATAACCTATTCTTTGTATTTCTCTGTCCCTTTTACCAAGAATGAAGCCCCACTCTGTTAGTTTAGCTGTGGCCCGGCTACTTCTCGTTTCACCACAAAGACATGCCACGTTGTTAACTTAGTTTCGTGGCCCCTTTGCCGAAAACAAGCCCGCATTTTGTTAGTGAATGCGGTGGCCGCTTTCCTTTTCCTCTTTCTCACCGAGAAAGAAAAGCCCCAT